TGGAGCAGCAGCAGCTCGGGAGGGACCTGGAGCAGCAGCAGCTCGGGAGGGACCTGGAGCAGCAGCAGCTCGGGAGGGACCTGGAGCAGCAGCAGCTCGGGAGGGACCTGGAGCAGCAGCAGCTCGGGAGGGACCTGGAGCAGCAGCAGCTCGGGAGGGACCTGGAGCAGCAGCAGCTCGGGAGGGACCTGGAGCAGCAGCAGCTCGGGAGGGACCTGGAGCAGCAGCAGCTCGGGAGGGACCTGGAGCAGCAGCAGCTCGGGAGGGACCTGGAGCAGAGCAGCTCGGGAGGGACCTGGAGCAGCAGCAGCTCGGGAGGGACCTGGAGCAGCAGCAGCTCGGGAGGGACCTGGAGCAGCAGCAGCTCGGGAGGGACCTGGAGCAGCAGCAGCTCGGGAGGGACCTGGAGCAGCAGAGCTCGGGGGGGGGGGGGAGGGACCTGGAGCAGCAGCAGCTCGGGAGGGACCTGGAGCAGCAGCAGCTCGGGAGGGACCTGGAGCAGCAGCAGCTCGGGAGGGACCTGGAGCCGCTGGAGCTCGGGAGGGACCTGGAGCCGCGAGCTCGGGAGGGCCGGCAGCGCCTGGAGCGCGAGCTCGGGAGGGCCGGAGCCGCGGAGCTCGGGAGGGACCTGGAGCAGCAGCAGCTCGGGAGGGACCTGGAGCAGCAGCAGCTCGGAGGGACCTGGAGCCGCAGGAGCTCGGGAGGGTGGGAGAGCTCGGGAGGGACCTGGAGCAGCAGCAGCTCGGGAGGGACCTGGAGCAGCAGCAGCTCGGGAGGGACCTGGAGCCGCAGGAGCTCGGGAGGGGCCTGGAGCAGCAGCAGCTCGGGAGGGACCTGGAGCAGCAGCAGCTCGGGAGGGACCTGGAGCAGCAGCAGCTCGGGAGGGACCTGGAGCCGCAGCAGCTCGGGAGGGACCTGGAGCCGCTGGAGCTCGGGAGGGACCTGGAGCCGCAGGAGCTCGGGAGGGACCTGGAGCAGCAGCAGCTCGGGAGGGACCTGGAGCAGCAGCAGCTCGGGAGGGACCCGGAGCCGCAGGAGCTCGGGAGGGACCTGGAGCGCGGGCTGAGGCCCGGAGCAGCAGCAGCTCGGGAGGGACCTGGAGCAGCAGCAGCTCGGGAGGGACCTGGAGCAGCAGCAGCTCGGGAGGGACCTGGAGCAGCAGCAGCTCGGGAGGGACCTGGAGCAGCAGCAGCTCGGGAGGGACCTGGAGCAGCAGCAGCTCGGGAGGGACCTGGAGCGCAGCAGCTCGGGAGGGACCTGGAGCAGCAGAGTGCAGCAGCTCGGGAGGGACCTGGAGCCGCAGGAGCTCGGGAGGGACCTGGAGCAGCAGCAGCTCGGGAGGGACCTGGAGCAGCAGCAGCTCGGGAGGGACCTGGAGCAGCAGCAGCTCGGGAGGGACCTGGAGCAGCAGCAGCTCGGGAGGGACCTGGAGCAGCAGGAGCTCGGGAGGGACCCGGAGCCGCTGGAGCTCGGGAGGGACCTGGAGCAGCAGCAGCTCGGGAGGGACCCGGAGCCGCAGGAGCTCTCCTGGGCGTGGGCTCCCGCAGGAATCCCAGCGATGCACCCCCGGGTTTGGAGGTGCAACCGGCACCGTGCCCGCTGGCAGCACCGCAACGCCCGGGGCCTCCCTGGCGCCTCTGCCGGTGTCACACCCCTCCAGTGCTGCCCTGGGACTGGGGCCGAGGGGACGGGGGTGGACGGGGATGGGCGGGGATGGGCGGGGATGGACGGGGATGGATGGGGATGGATGGGGATGGAGGGGAATGGATGGGGATGGACGGGGATGGACGGGGATGGACGGGGATGGACGGGGATGGACGGGGATGGACGGGGATGGACGGGGATGGACGGGGATGGACGGGGGTGGACGGGGGTGGACGGGGACGGACAGACGGACCCAGAGCGGCTGGGCACTCATAGAAAACCATCTACTGTTTATTGGTGCTGGCGGGCCGGGCCCGGCCGGGTTACATTCAGCTCTACTGCTCTTCGGTTAGGGGGTGGTGGCAGCATGCGGCAGCGGGGCCGGGACCTGCGCCGGGGGGTGCAGTGCGGTGCAGGACCCCCCCAGCAGCCCCAGCCCCACCGGGATCAGGGTGGCTGCAGCCGGAGCCCTAGCGCAGGTACCCACAGGGACGGGGGGGTAGCACCAGAACCAGTGAAGGCACCGAGCCCGGCCATGGCCCACTGGGGTGCGGGCAGCAGGATGGGGGGAGCCCCTACCCAGCACTGATGGCAGGGGGGGAACCCCCAACCCAGCACCAATGGCACCGGCAGCCACCCCAAGGGCTAGAGCCCATCACGGTGGCGTCTGGGCTGCCCCAGCCCCACTGCCCCAAATGCTGTGGCTGCAGTGGGTGCTTGGAGCACATCACCGGGGCTGCAGCGGGGCAGGGGCTGCAGCAGCCGGACCAGGGGCTTGCTGTGAGGCACAGGGGTGCTGTGGATCAGAGGGGTGCTGTGGGGCAGGGGGTTGCACGCATGCTGCAGCAGCAGCGCGGGTCAGACCTGCGGGCACATGGCTGCACCTCCGCTATCCTCCAGCGGACAGGAGGGTCCTGAGTGGGGCCGGCCGAGGGTGCTGGTGCGGGGGTCAGCGGCAGGGGCTGCACCGCTGCGGGGGGGACCCCTCGGGTGGCTCTGCAATGGGCACAGAGGCGCTGGAGCTGCATGGTGCTGCCAAACCCATGGCCTGCCCCACACGCTGCGGCTGCGCTGGGGTCCCACTGCCCCGTGGCACAGGCAGTGCGCAGCCTGCAGCAGCGCCCAGGGCAGCTGCACCCAGGGCAGCAGCGGGGGCCCGCAGTGCCGCAGCCTCACCTGCCGGTGCTGCAGCCAGGCCCTGCTCAGCCGCGGGGAGCTGCAGCTCGGCTGCGTCGGGCAGGAGGGAGCCGCGGGCGCGGGGGCAGCGGTCACCAGAGCGCGTCCGGCGCTGCACCGACTGCAAGGGGGCACAGGGGCAGCGGTCACCAGAGCGTGTCCGGCGCTGCACCGCTGCAAGGGGGCACAGGGGCAGCGGGGGCAGCGGTCACCAGAGCGCGTCCGGCGCTGCACCGACTGCAAGGGGGCACAGGGGCAGGGGGGGCAGCGGTCACCAGAGCGCGTCCGGCGCTGCACCGCTGCAAGGGGGCACAGGGGCAGCGGGGGCAGCGGTCACCAGAGCGCGTCCGGCGCTGCACCGACTGCAAGGGGGCACAGGGGCAGCGGGGGCAGCGGTCACCAGAGCGCGTCCGGTGCTGCACCGACTGCAAGGGGGCACAGGGGCAGCAGGGGCAGCGGTCACCAGAGCGCGTCCGGTGCTGCACCGACTGCAAGGGGGCACAGGGGCAGCGGGGGCAGCGGTCACCAGAGCGCATCCGGCGCTGCACTGACTGCAAGGGGGCACAGGGGCAGGGGGGGCAGTGGTCACCAGAGCGCATCCAGTGCTGCACCGACTGCAAGGGGGCACAGGGGCAGCGCTCGGCAGGGCCCGGGGCACACGGGGGGGCCCGGGGGGTTCTGCAGCTCTCACCTTCCTGGCCAGGGGGCTGCAGGGCGCTGAGGCGCTGCTGTAGAGGCTGAGGCTGGAGCTGGAGCGGGTCGGGGACAGCGCTTTGGAGGAGGGGGAGGAGGCGCTGCCTGCGCCCGCCCCGAAGGCCTCCGTGCTCAGGTACTTCTCGTTGATCTTCAGGTTGGTTCTTCCCTTCACTGGGGCATGGAGGGGGTCACAAGGGCTGGGAATGGGGCCGCATCCCGCAGGGGCCCCGCTGCAGCAGCGCAGCAGAGCTCCCACTGCAGAGCCCACTGGCAGCCCCCTGGGTGCGGGTACCGGGGTGGGGGGCGCCCATCCCCACCTCTGCAGGGGTCGTTCTTCACCAGGAACTCGTCAAGCGCGATCCAGCCGCCACCGACGCGCACCATGAGGGTGCTGCGCAGGATCCGCACCATCCGCAGCTGCTGCGACTCCCCGAACTGCAGCGACACCGCGGCGCAGCGGGGGCAAGGGCAGGAGGGGTCAGGGCAGTGCAGGGAGCACTGGGGGGTTCGTCAGGGCTCGGTGCTGGGGAGTGGGTGCCAGGGCAGGCGCCGGCACCCAGCTGCGCCCATCACCAAGCCATTGGGTCCCATCCACCCCTGTGCTGCAGCCCGCAGCACCAGGGGGCCCACAGGACGTGGGGACGTGCCCCTCCTGGGCAGGTGCATGGGAGCTGCAGCACCTGGCGTGGCGCAGGCGGTGCCGCAGCGCTGCCAGCACTTACCCGGTACCTGTTGGCACTGATCTGCTCCACCTGGAACCGCTTGGCACAGTTGCACTGGGCCACTTGCCGGTTCACCTGCAGGGTGAGCACGGGGGTCAGCCCCCAGGGACTCCCCCCAGCCCATGCAGCCCCCCCGGCTGCAGCCGCACCTCGTCCTGGATCTGGTCGGCATCGGCGCCGCGGCGCAGCAGGTCCCGGCTGGGGTGCAGGGCACTGACGAACTCGCAGTAGTCAATGAAGCCATCGCCGTTCATGTCAAAGATGCTGGCGACAGCGTTCATCTCCAGGACGTTGGTGGGAAACTCTGGGTGGGAAGGGGACTCTGGGCACATTGCGCCAAGGGCGGATGGGGCCGGCACTGAGCCATGGCCCCAGAGGGGGATCCTGAAGCCATGGGATGGATTCTTTGGAAGGGACCTTAAAGAGTTCATCCGGTTCCAACGCACCCCCCATAGGCACGGACCCTTTCCATGGAGCAGGGGGCTCCGAGCCCCTGTGTCCAACCTGGCCCTGAGCACTGCCAGGGATGGGGCAGCCCCAGCTTCTCCCTTCAACCTCTTCAACCACCCTCATGGTAACGGATTTCTTCCTAGCACCTCACTTCACTGTTCCATCTTCCACACAGAACCTGTTGCCCCTCGTCCCTTCCATACCCGACATTGCCCCAAGCCCCCTCCAGGCTCCTGCAGCCCCTGCAGGCACTGGAGCTGCTCTCAGCTCCCCCCTTCCCGCAGCAGAGGGGCAGGATCCCCTCCCTGCGCTGCTGCTCCCGCTCTGGGCTGCACCCAGCACACGGGGGGGTTCTGGGCTCCAGCGCTCACTGGAGCTGGGTCCTGGGGAGCTCCTCCCCCCCCAGCACCCCAAGTCCTGCTCCTCAGGCCCCAGCCCCTCTCCCCAGCCTGGGCTGGACCCCGCAGGCAGACCCCGTCCGTTCCCGTCTCCACCAGCACCGCTCCCAGTGCCTGAGTGGGACTCACTGGAGGAGAGGACGCTCTCGATGAACTCCCGCTGGCTGATGCGCCCGTCCTGGTCCCGGTCAATGCCCCGGAAGACGTCGAGGACCCGGGACTTCATCTGCCCGATCCAGTGCATGTAGCGCTTGCGCCAGACCCCGAAGTCGAAGTGAGCGAATTCCTCCAGCTCCGAGGGGCAGAGACGGGAATTACTCCCCTGAGAGCCCCCTGCTCTGCCCATGCGGCACCCAGTGCATTGCTCTGCCCATGCAGCACCCAGTGCATTGCTCTGCCCATGCAGCACCCCGTGCATTGCTCTGCCCACGCAGCACCCACTGCATTGCTCTGCCCATGCGGCACCCCGTGCATTGCTCTGCCCATGCAGCACCCAGTGCACTGCTCTGCCCATGCAGCACCCAGTGCATTGCTCTGCCCATGCAGCACCCAGTGCATTGCTCTGCCCATGCAGCACCCAGTGCATTGCTCTGCCCATGCAGCACCCCGTGCATTGCTCTGCCCATGCAGCACCCAGTGCATTGCTCTGCCCATGCGGCACCCAGTGCATTGCTCTGCCCACGCGGCACCCACTGCATTGCTCTGCCCACGCGGCACCCAGTGCATTGCTCTGCCCACGCGGCACCCAGTGCATTGCTCTGCCCATGCAGCACCCAGTGCATTGCTCTGCCCATGCAGCACCCAGTGCATTGCTCTGCCCATGCAGCACCCAGTGCATTGCTCTGCCCACGCAGCACCCAGTGCATTGCTCTGCCCACGCAGCACCCAGTGCATTGCTCTGCCCATGCAGCACCCAGTGCATTGCTCTGCCCACGCAGCACCCAGTGCATTGCTCTGCCCACGCAGCACCCAATGCATCACCCCTGCCCCATGCCATGCTTTGCACCCGCCGGTGCTGCAGCGCAGCCGCCGTACCTCCCGCAGGCGCTGCAGGGCCGTCTCGAGCCGGTACTGCCGGTCCAGCGCCAGGAGCCAGAGCTGCTGCCAGCGCTGCAGGACCTGCGCCGTGAGCGGGCTCTGGGGCTCCGGTGCTCCGGGCAGCTCCGCCGGTGCCTTCCCCGCGCTGCGGCGCCCTGCAGCCAGCACACACCATGACACAGAGCCAGGGCTGCGGCCGGCGCAGTGCAGCACGGGGCGGTCCTTACGTGAGGCCAGCCGGCGCGCCACCGGTGGGCCCAGCTCTGCGGCCAGCTTCTGCTTGCAGCTCTTGGTCACCCTCTCCACGTCAGGCTGCTTGCGGTTTAGCTCCTCCATGAAGACCTGCAGCAGAGCACACTGAGCACCCAGCAGCCGCAGCAGCACCACCGCTGCAGTGCAGCCAGGCACGGGGTGATGCTGGGAGCACAGAGCAGCCCCTCTGCCCCCTCCTGCATGCGCAGCTCGTGCTGCAGAGCCCATGGGCTTGGCTGCAACACGTAAGAGGTGCTGCTGCAGCACTGCTGCATGCACGGCTGCGGCCTGGGGCACCCGCAGCCCTCGGTGGGGTTGAGGCAGGTGGGGGCACACACGCACACCATGGCCCTTACCGCGTGCTGCGCGCTGAGCTCCTGCAGCGGCTCCACCTCCTGCGGCAGCGGCTCCGTGTCCCGCAGCCCCAGCGCCTCCTCGGCCGCCGCCATCCACTCCAGGAGCTGCGCCGCATCCTCCCGCTCGGCCGCCAGCCGCGACGCCTGCGCCTGCAGCCGCTCGCCCTGCTGCTGCGCCCAGCGCTGCACCTGCGGCACGGCACCGGGCTGGGGCCTGCGGGGGGGCTCTGCAGGGCTGCAGACCCTGGGGGCTGTGACTACATCCGGGCACCACAGGGCATGGCATCAGTGGGGATGGCCCCTGCACGGTGCACTCCTGCCATGGGGCAGGCACAGGGACCTCCAGCCAGCAGCCCCTGTGGCTATGAGGCAGGGCTGTGGGGCAGAACTAGGGGGGATCCCACCTCTGCCATGGGGCAGAGACCGCAGCCGCAGCCCCCATGGCCATGGGGCAGCACAGGGAGCACCGGTCCTGGGTGCAGCAGCTGAAGGTGCCAGCACCAGTGCCTGTGCCGCTGCCAGCGTGGCCGGGCCCTGCCTGCAGGAACCGGAGCAGCGGCGGCTCCAGATCAGGTCCCAGGATCTCTGAGCTCCCCTCAGGAGGGGCTGGAGCAGGCAGGGACCAGGCAAGTATGGGCCCAACCAGTCCGACCCGTCCGGGCAGAGCTGGGAGCCTCCGGCTGCTGTGGGAACCCCTCTGGGATGGGGATCCCGGGGCACGGATCCCTGCCTGCGCTGGGGGGCAGCTGCGGTCCCATGGGAATGAGGCACCAGCATCGGCAGGGCCGTGCAGGGCCCGGGGCAGGGGGAGCCGTGGGTGCTGCAGCTCAGAGGGGGCAGCAGGAGATGGATGCGGGCACTGCACAGACCAAGGGGGGGATTGGGTGGGAGGGAGCTCAAAGCTCCTCCAGCTCCAACCCCTGCCAGGGCAGGGACCCCTTCCCCTGGAGCAGGGTGCTCCAAGCCCCTGTGTCCAACCTGGCCTTGAGCACTGCCAGGGATGGGGCAGCCACAGCTCCTCTGGGCACCCTGTGCCAGCGCCTCAGCACCCTCACAGGGGAGAGCTCCTTCCCCCGCTCTCCTCCCCCGGACGTGGGGACCCCTCTCACCTCCTGGAAGCGGCTCTTGGTGACGGTGACCCAGGACTTGATGGTGACGACGGAGTCGGGGTGGCAGGAGGAGAGGATCTCCTCCCCCAGCGAGGTGATGCACTCCAGCTCCAGCTGCTGGCACTGCAGCGACTGCAGCAGCTCCTGGGGGGGGACATGCACCATGACAGCGCCGGGTCCAGCCCCGGCACCACCGCACCCCTCACACTGGGGTCACCACGCATGGCTGCGGGTGCATGGGACCCCAGACCCCCACCCCTCAGGACCCCAAACCCGTGTCTGTGTGCAATGGGAGCCCGGTGGGAGCCGTGGCAGACTGGGACGTGCCGGGACAGGGATGCACCAACCTGCAGCAGGTCTCGGCACTGCTGCACGGCCGCCTCCTCCTCGGGGATGGCGCCGTACTTGAGGCTCTGCTCGGACTCGCCGAGGCGGCGCAGGAATGACTGCACCAGGCTCTGGAACTCTTCAGCCTGCAGCGGACGTGGGACCCACTCAGCCCCAGCGCGCGGCTGCAGCACCAGGGCCCAGGCCCCGAGACCCCCAACCAGGCCCTGTGGCTGCTGCTCCTGCACCCAGCACATGCGACTCATTGCAGCACCATGTGCCCAGAGCTGCTGCCAGCCCGGCTGCAGGACATCCTGCAGCAGGACAGAGGATGCTGCTTGCCCTGGTGCAACACCACGGCCCCCACCAGGACCTCCCCATGCAGCTGCAGAACACAGCATCCTCCCCCGGCACCTGCAGCACCCAGCCTGGCACTCGGGCATGGCAGCTTGCAACACAGCCACACACAGAGCTGCACAGCCACACGCAGCACCCAAAGCACAACCGCATGCAGAGCCCAGACACCCCACACAGCAGCCTGCAGTGAGGCCACACAGAGCCCTAGCACCCAAAGCAGCACATGAGCACCCATCACCCAGATACCCCACACAGCAGCCTGCAGCGCGGCCACACAGAGCCCGAGCACCCAAAGCAGCGCATGAGCACCCATCACCCAGATACCCCACACAGCAGCCTGCAGCGCGGCCACACAGAGCCCGAGCACCCAAAGCAGTGCATGAGCTCCCATCACCCAGACACCCCATGCAGCACCCCACAGCACAGGCACACACAGAGCCCGAGCACCCCATGCAGCACCCCACAGTGCAGGCACACACAGAGCCAAGGCACCCCATGCAGCACCCCACAGCGCAGGCACACACAGAGCCAAGGCACCCCATGCAGCACCCCACAGCGCAGGCACACACAGAGCCAAGGCACCCCATGCAGCACCCCACAGCGCAGGCACACACAGAGCCAAGGCACCCCATGCAGCACCCCACAGCGCAGGCACACACAGAGCCAAGGCACCCCATGCAGCACCCCACAGCGCAGGCACACACAGAGCCAAGGCACCCCATGCAGCACCCCACAGCGCAGGCACACACAGAGCCAAGGCACCCCATGCAGCACCCCACAGCGCAGGCACACACAGAGCCAAGGCACCCCATGCAGCACCCCACAGCGCAGGCACACACAGAGCCAAGGCACCCCATGCAGCACCCCACAGCGCAGGCACACACAGAGCCCAAGCACCCCATGCAGCACCCCACAGCGCAGGCACACACAGAGCCAAGGCACCCCATGCAGCACCCCAAAGCGCAGGCACACACAGAGCCAAGGCACCCCATGCAGCACCCTGAAGAGTGCCCACACAGAGCCCGAGCACCCAAAGCAGCGCATGAGCTCCCATCACCCAGGCACCCCGCACAGCACCCTGCAGCATCGCCCCCTGCAGCCCCTGCAGCACCTGGCGCAGCGCTGCCTCCAGCCGCGCCTGCCTGCCCAGGGACAGGCGGCAGACCAGGTCCCAGCGCATGCTCAGCTCCTCCAGCTGCCGCTGCAGCCACGGCGAGTCCCCGCGCGCCGGGTCCCGCACCGAGCGCGTCAGCGCCCGCACGCAGCCGGCGCGTTTGCCCAGCTCCTTCTGGAACACCTGCGGCGGGGAGAGACGGCGGCAGCGTCGCGGCACCCGCCTGGCCCTGCTGCAGCGCAGGCTCCATGCAGCACGGGCACCGCTGCAGCTGCGTGCGCCAGGGGCTGCGGCCATCGCCCTGCACCAGACTCCAGCCCTGCCCCGGCCCGGTCCCAGGGTAGCTGGAGATGGGATGGGGATGGGATCAGGATGGGGACAGGGATGGGATCAGGATGGGGACGGGACAGGAGGACAGGAACAGAATGGGGACAGGAGTGTGGGCAGGGAGGAGGACAGGAACAGGGACGGGGGCACCCACCTTGTGCTTGTCCATCAGGTCGCTGACCAGGTCGCGGTCGCCGCCGACGGGCGCATCCTCGCTGAGCTGCGGCTCGGCGCGGTACAGCCAGTCCAGGAGCGCCTGCAGCGCCTCCGAGAACTTCCCCGACAGCAGCAGCCTCTCCTCCAGCTGGTGCTGCCTGCCAGGACAGGGGTGCAGGCAATGCGGCAGCGCCAGGCCCGGCACCGCGGGGCAGGAACGGCTGCACCCAGGGCCCAGCACTGTGGGGCAGGAATGGCTGCACCCAGGACCCAGCACTGCGGGGCAGGAATGGCTGCACCCGGGGCCCAGCACTGCAGGGCAGGAATGGCTGCACCCAGGACCCAGCACTGCAGGGCAGGAATGGCTGCACCCGGGGCCCAGCACTGCAGGGCAGGAATGGCTGCACCCAGGACCCAGCACTGCAGGGCAGGAATGGCTGCACCAGGGGCCCAGCACTGCAGGGCAGGAATGGCTGCACCCAGGACCCAGCACTGCAGGGAAC